AGCCTAGGCTTTTAAATATTGGTATGGTGCAGTGATGCACAATATTTGTATTGGCCAAGTCCAAGGTCCTGCATGCAGGTTGCAGCAACCCCAAGCACAAATACAGGCTGGGTGGAAAATGGATTGACTGCGATCCTGCAGAGAAGGACTTGGGGGTGTTGGTTGATGTGAAGCACAGCGTGACCTGGCAGTGTGCACTTGCAGCCCAGAAAGCCAACTGTGTCCTGGGCTGCATCCAAAGGAGTATGGGCAGCAGGTTGAAGGAGGTGATTCTTCCCCTCTGTTCTCTTGAGACCCCTCCTGGACTGCTGCTTTCAGTTCTGCGGCCCCCAACATAAGGATACAGACTGTTGGAGTGAGTTCAGAGCAGGGCCATGAAGACACTCAGAGGATTGGAGTTCCTCTCCTATGGAGACAGGTTAGAAGAGTAGGGTTTGTTCAACCTTGAGAAGAAAAGACTCAGGGAGACTTCAGAGCACCTTCCAGTATCTAAAGGGGACCTGAAAGAAAGCTGGAGAGGGACTGTTTACAGGGGTATGTAGTGACAGGGCAAGGGGAAATGGCTTTAAACTGAAAAAAGGCTAGGTTTAGTTTGCATATTAGGAAAAAATTCTTCACTGTAAGGGTGGTGAGACACTGGAACAGGTTGCCTGGAGAAGCTGTGGATGCCCCATGCCTGGAAGTGTTCAAGGCCAGGTTGGATGGGGCTCTGAGCAACCTGGTCTAGTGGAAGGTGTCCCTGACCATGGCAGAGGGTTTGGAACTAGATGGTATTTAAGGTCCCTTTCAACTCAAACCATTCTATGATTGCAAGAGTAGCCAGAAAGCATATAACTTGTCTAACATTTATTATAAAGAATTAATGAAACCTTGATTTATTGATATTAATAACTACATGTCATATTTGGTGGGGCAACAGTGTCAAAGAAGTAGTGGAAGTACTGAAAGAAGTATCAGCATTTGCCTCATCTCATTTTGCATTCAGCAATAAAATTATATATGACTTCCAAAGTTGATGGCTATTCTCAAAAACTTTCCCAAGCTACCACAAGAGTAGCAGTGTCTGCTATTGAAATGCCACAGGAGCTGCAGTCACAGCTGAAGGGAAGCATTCTCTGTGGACTGGTTGTGTGACCAACTTCAAATGCATTTCTGACTTCCAAGTGCTTGATTAGGCAACAAACCCAACATTTTATAATATGTGGGGAGAGGAGAATGGGCATTGATAAGTGACAGATATTCTTTTGTAATGGTTTGTGTTACAGCCTGTTACAATCTGAGTAGTCAATACAAATTGGTGCTGCTAAGAGCTCAATACCAATCGCTTACATACTGTCTGTCCCTCTAATAACAGAGCAAAACCCATTTTTATATTTTCATAGAAAATCTCTGAAAAATTAATTTCAGAAAACCAATGACTTGATACCTGTGTAATTCAATATATACAACAATGGCTCTTTTATTTTTATAGTGAACTTATCCTATCCAGTATTGATGTTGATGCAACTGGAAATTGGGAGTGTCTAGTCAACAATTCCTATGGAAATAGCACTAAACAAGTAGAAATTGTGGTACTTGAAACAGCTGCACCGTACTGCCCTGCAGAAAGAGTTATTAACAACAAGGGAGATTTCAGGTATGATTTTCTGTTTTGGGAGTATGTTTCATATATTAATGTAAGTACGCACCATATTCATGGTTACATGATACTTCAGTGTCAGTTATGATGTCACTTATTTTAGTTGTCATTTTTATGTAATACTATAGAAAGTAGGAGCACTATATGATTTTTATGGGAAATGGGAGCTGGTTCTTCAGGTGGTTTGTGAAAGTCAGAGAATCTTCTAATTCCTCAGTATGCAATTATGGAAAATTTCAAGAAAATGAGGTAAGTAAGAGAAGGTTCAAAATTGTTCTTGATCTTTGTAGAATATGATAACACTGCATTAAAGTAGTAGAAGATTAAACCTTCAGTACTTTTTACTTACTTCAGTACTCTGTTCCAGTTCTGATGGTTTTGTTCAGCTGAGATTAGAGGTAATAAATGACATGAAATTTAGTAAAATATTTCACTGAAGGGACTCAAAACAGCAAGTAAAAATCCTTGGTAAAGCAAATAGATTGTCTGAGGTGAGCCTAAGGACACACACAGTTCCACTGGTATATCACATGCTTACAAAGTACATCCATCCTGCTATCTGAATCTTAGAGTCTACAAAATTTTGTGAACTAAATTTAGTGTTTGCCTTATCTTTACTTTTGTCTACATATGCTGGTGGAGCTTTTTAAAATTTTAATCCTTCTAATCTGAAGAAAAAGTTAAGGTTTCTGTGGAATTTGGTATTGTTTTCAGTTAGCTCTAAATACTCCGATGATATGCAGAAAGCTCTTAAACAAGATATAATTAACTGCTTGACAATAAGACTGATGTATGATGGCATTCCCATTGAGAAATCAAGACAGTAATTTGTTACCAAGTGAATTATAATAAGAATTCAGCTTGAATACTTAATGAAAGGAAAAGCAGATGAGAAAGGAAGCTTCTCTTAAACACCAGAATGTTCTGCAAATACTTCTGACCTGAAAGCCTCTCTTTATTTTTAGGTTACCTTTAAAACTTTCCCAAAGGCTTTTTATTACTGTTTCTTGTGTTTGAATAGAAATAAAGGATTGCATTAAAAAGAGTTTAAAAAAACCTACTCGCATAATCTGTTTTCTCTTTATCACAAAACTATTTTATTATGTGTTAACCTCAGTTCCATCGAGTTTGCCTCTTTTGCTGAGGCAAAATGGCTGAGCAATACATATATATGAATTAAAATGCATTAGAGATCTTTGACAATCTTAGCTATAGATTTTTTTGTCATCACAAAACCTGCCATTGTGTTTTCTCGTAGTGGATGTGCTTAAATATGTTTTAATTAGATCTTTTAAAATATATGTACTTCCTATCAGATAACACATACTGAGTCTTTTAGGTGACAACTTATAAAGTTCATGTTCTTGCCATAAAATGACATCCTTTTCTCCATAATTAAATTTATATAAATTCCACAGGCTGCACAAACTAACACCAGGGGCATTTTTGTCATTTTATATAAATGGAAAGAACAGGAGTGGACATTTCTCTACCTATTGATCATCTTTCTAGAAATCCATATAAATTTATTTTTTAAATGTGCATCAAAAGGAGGCTGAGTCCGTAGGTTCTCTTGGCATTTGAGGGAATGAATTTTAAATTGTAGAGAGTTTGTCAGGCTTAAACTCAGCATTAGCACTTGAAATTGTTCTAAAGGTTTATCCTCAGAGATGGAGCTATCACACCAGCAATTTTTCTTACAAAGGTCTTTGAAGTTTTGGTAGCATAACAAGTATGTAAGTAGAAAGAGCTGAACCACAAAAGCAAAGCTAAAAAGAACAGTTCTTTTATTGCGCAAAAAAAAGGGGGAAAGAATCAACTGTTAGGGAAGTGTGACTATTTCAGTTGTCCAACCTAGGTGGTATTTATAATTGCATAACTGCAGTAAGAATTAAGCACTGTGAGTCGGAATGAAGTGGCCTTTTTTACTAGGAGGTTTTCTCTGTGATGGTGATATTTTACTCCTAGTGGTTTGTTTGTTTTCTAGCACACTGTAACCTTATTCTGAAATGCAAATGGGAATGTCGTTGTATGCTATCATTCCTATTCATAAAGGAATATACGAGATAATGCTAGTTTCAGGATTATCTCTTTAGTTTTACTTTTTAGTTAAGCTGCCACTCAGTGTGGCCCAATTGCATTAATGCAAATGTTTTACTAAAAATAATATTTCAGCCCAGAGGCAAAAAGGCCTCTATATTACTATACTCTGTACTACTTTACATATTTTTAGGTTTTGGGAAAGCTCCTTTCATATTTCATTTGGCATCAACTGTTTTGACATCAAAAATTGAATTATTTCAGTCACAGTTGTGACAAATAAAAATTTTTTTTTTCCTTAGCTTTTCTTTGAAGTGAGGAAAACTTATATAGCCCAAAACCTATCAGTATATTAGGTAACAATATACAAATGAACCTACATTGTATAACTAAGAAGAGCTAATACATATGTTTGAGCAAAAATTGATTGTCAGGTTGTGGCTTCATTGACAGGCAGAATATTTTTGTGATTGTTTGGGATCAGTCATTACATCAGTGCAATTAAAGAACCATATCCTTTCCAGACTTGCTGACTCGCTGATGATACACTTATGGTTTTCTTTGATTTCTCCCAATTACCTGATCCTGTTCTGTCCATACTAGGTTGTAAATGACAATAGATTTGGTACCTATACAAACAGATCCAGTTGTGCCATTCTAGAGAATGCAGCAGATATATAGAGAGAATGTATTGTATAATAGATCCATCAGCTAAATAGAACAACTCCGGCTACTCTTGATTTAGTTTGTTTTCAAAACTGTTTTGGAATCGCAGTATGTAAACCACTATACCTAAATAGCTGATTTTTGAGGGCTAGTTCCTTCCTCCTCTGTAGCCATGATCTACGCTGAAATTTTGTTTCTTGTTTTCTGAGACATTCAGGGATTTTTTTTGAGGCTTTGAGGCAGAGAGGGCTTTGTAGTGATGGGTCAAAATGCAAAGCCGAGATTGTCAAGTACATTTTGAGCAATCACCTTTAACAGCATGTGGTAATAGGGTTTGAGGAGGGTTTTTTTGCTTCGTGGACTTACTGCTCTGCTTTTTGCAGTCTGCGAAGAGTAATGTTGTGAAAACACCATCCCTTTCTCCTCCCTTAACACCAAACACCTTCCTAGAATTAATGCAGAATTAATTCTGCAGACTTGACCAGCCAGACTTGAACCTGTGTAATTTTGACATTTTCCAAGGAAACAAATTAATTCTTTATAAAATGTAGTGAGAGAAAGTTGAAATAGCCTTTTTTCTCATATATTCTGTATACTGTTGCTATATTGTAAGTTGCCTTTTGCATTGTAATTTTTATTATCATGCTCTTTATAGGTGGCCCAAAACTTTGGCCGGGATAACAGCTTACCATCCCTGTCTCCAGTATTCTTTTAACTCCATTGCATTTCACAGTGGTGCAGAAGTGCCCAAAGCATGGCGTAAATGTAATCGAACTGGACGCTGGGATGAAGAAAACTATTCTGAATGTCCTTATTCACAAGAAATAACTCAAGTTCTTCATGCTTTTAGTCAGGTAACGTTATGAAATCTAGAGCTTCCCTTCTCTAGTACTGATTTTGTTCAATACGTTGCAAGAAATGTCTGTTTAGCCACAAGTTTGGGATAGATGAACTTTTGACAAAATGCTTTACTTGAAAGACAACAATGTGTTTCTTTGGTAATTGGAAATTGTAGTAGAAACAAGAGCACAGCATTTATTGCCTTTATGTTAATCTTTTTTCCTTTGAATGTTCGAAGTCTAGATGATCATTAGTAATGTTGCCAGAGTGATCAGTCCTTCACTTCCATTCCTTCTTTGTCTTCTCCTCGTGCATTTTTTCCAGAAAAATATTAATTTCTCATGAAGTCCCATATCAGAGTTTTGTCAGCTGAAGTACCTTTCTTTATGAAGTGAAATGAAGCTTACTTTAGAATGCCTTTTTGATGTCTTCAAGAAAAGCAGTACTTAAAATTGTTTCTTATGGATAAGTAAAAGAGAGAATAAGATGAAAAAGAAGATGGATGGAAATTAATGACAAAAAAAGAGCATAAGAGGAAACAGCATGAGGGATGGCCCAGATGTGTAACTGTCATACTAAATTTTACAACTTTCAGTTTCCTTGATCATTTCTTCCCTAGTGGTATCAGTAGTGCCAGATAATACCACAGAAAGTTTTTTTTCAGATGGGTTCATACTTAAATGAGAATTATTACAATATTAAGAGAGGCAGTGCAATTATAGGGTAATAATTACGAAGATGTCTAGAATCAAGTCCATGCTCCTGTTAAGCAATGAGGTTAGGCCCAGTTTCTCAGTGCTTTAGCCACCCAGGTCTTTACAACCTCTGAGGATGGAGGCTGCACAACTTCTGGGGGTAACCTGTTCAAATGCCTGACTATCCTCATGACAGGAAAGATTTTCTTCATAACCAGACTGAACTTTTGTTTCAACTCAGTACCCTTATTCTCCCACCATGCACCACTGTATATAGGAACCCTTGCTGTTGTTTTCATGATGATCTAGAGACAAGGCAAGGTTAGTAACTTGGTGTATTTTATGAGGCCAGATAGTTACAGTCTAGAAGAAGTAGATAAAAATCTTCAAAATTTGTTGGCCTGTTGTGGTGGTTTCTTCAGATAACAGCAATGAAATCTAAGACCTAAGGCTGAAGATATATTCATATGCCTCTGAAATTTATATCCATGGTATATTGATGCACATAAATCCATGTGAAATTATAGGAAGCATTATACAGATGGATGTGATCTCCAGTTTTTAAAGAGAATGAAGCTAGCTGATTTATTACACCTAACAATTCTGATGTATTTTCAGATGCACATCAATTTGACAACCGTGCTTGAATTTTCCCGCCAGCTGACAGCCTACACAAGAGGTGCTTCCCTCTTTGCAGATAAAATGGATGTAATATATTTGGCTTATATAATGGAAAAGTTAATTGTCTTCGTGGATGAAGTTCAAGATGTAAGATATTTTCTCTATGCTGAAAAAAACTATCACTTAGGAGTGAAGTCTTCACATATGGCCCTGTCTTAATGTATGCAGGCACACACTGAAGAGTAGCTTCTGAAACTGATTGCTCATTGCAAGTGTTCTGCCTATACTGTGATATGTCTCTTTATGCCAAAAAAACAACTAAACCTTCTCCTCTGACTGACAAGGGCATTGCTGCTTAGGAATAAAAACGGGTTTTTAATAAGCCACTTCTTTAATTCTTTTTTAGATTTTAATTTCTAGCGTATCTGACATGGACTCAAGGTGCCTCTCCATCTGGTCGCTGGAGTTACACATGCTTCTTTTGTTTTCTCCATTTCATCAGGAGATTTTCACTGAGTTTTGAAAGGAAGTATCACTTCATGTAAAGAGAAGATAATATGTCTTTATGTGTAACTTTGTACAGAAACTTTTAGCATTATGTATGCCATTTTTACAGGGAGTTATGCAAACCCTCTGGGAAAAAAAGGTTTTTACAGAGAACAGAAATGTTCATCCTAGCTTTGTTACTGTTAATTTTCAGAGTAACTTCTAGCATAAAGATTTCATAAACTGTAATTTTTGTACACAGGATAGCTATAGTTAAAACATTTGTTTTCTTTTGGTTTGGCAGTGTTCATTCCATTCTGGCTCTGGGAATTGTAACAGTTAACATTTTAGTGCCAATTCAAGCCTCCAACTTCAATTTCACTATTATACACTAAATCTAAAGTGTATTATTAAGTGCTCTCCAAGAATCACATTTCAAAGCTGCAACTTTATTTCACCTCAAAATCCTGATAAGATCTTACTGCTTTCTGACAAAACAAAAATTTAAAATTCAAAATAAGCATTTGGATTTGCCATGAAGTCGCTTTATATTTCTAGCAGTTACTGCATTATCTTTAAAATTAAAGTTGAGCACCATCTCTACTCTTCTGATTTCTTCCACCTTTCAAATAGGTTTCAGTTTCTGATCTTTGGTATCAAAACATCTCTATCACTTATCTTTACGTATCTTATTTAGTAATCCCTTATTATTTTCTTAATTCAAAGCATTTCTCCTAATTTCTCTCTGTTTCCTTCTTCTATTTTTAAATTTACACATGTTTTCTCCCTCTCAAGTTCACTGAGTAGGGTCCTCATTCATTGAGCTCTCTACTGACACCCATTTCTGAACTCTCACTCACAAGGTGCAAAATTACATGTGAAGTTTAAGTGTCAATAGTTTCGTGCCTGAGGCTGCACTTGTAATTATAAATCAGACTGAACTTCATTTAATACAAGACAGCTGAAAATACAGGAATATAAAACCATTAGAAATCAATTAAAATGCAATTTATCAAAATAATTTCAAAAAAAATTTTAGGTAAGCTAGTATAGTTTCTGTACATCCGCTCTGGGGAGTGCCTCCCATTCAGCATGAGATTGTTCATTTTTATACAAGCTGATGGTACTTTGTCCCATCTGGTGGTTCACCTCTCAAACACGAGCTTCAGCAGCTGCGCTGGGGACATACTTGCAACACACTACAACTTTTTGTCAGGACAATACACACATATTAGCCCAAATTATAGTATTTTTTTCATTGCATGCCTTTACTCTAATGCATTTAATTATAATATGAATTGCTTCCTTTTCTTATTTTTCTCCTTTTTTGTATTTATAGACTATTGTTCTGTCCTCAGTAAGTTTCTTCTTAGCTGATTGGTGTATGCTTCAATAGTTTTTCATAAATCACTCCAGTCTCTTAATGTGATTCATTATTATTCATTGTATCAGTAACTCTGTCACATTGTCAAAAGCCATCTAGAATTATCTAGTAATTATGTTCTCAAAAATAGATTAAATATTCCAGGAACAGTCACATAAAATTTCACATACAGTCTCATTATTTTGGTGTCCTTTGCAATACATGCGAAATTTATTTATTTTTTATGGAAAACACAGAACTAACTTCATAATCCCAGCCATTTCTTAAACTTTTTTCACCATTTGTAAACTTCTTTTTCCTTTGCACTGAATTATCTGTATATTTGCCTTATTTTTCTGTTTCTGTGACTTTTTAGCTCCTTGAACTTTTCTTTAGCAATATTTATCTCAGTCATTTTTTCTCTTCTATATACCATTTTATTCAGGTTTATTTATTACAACACTGTATATCTTTGCCATATCTTTGCCTTCAAAAATAGTGGTAATGTGGTCATGTTAATTTTTGAAATTGTACTCAAATTAAGTGTTTGAATTTTAAAAAGTTTATTTAAGTTTGAAATAATTACTGAAAAATATTCTCAGTGACGTTTATTCTTTCTACTAATAAAATTTCAAACATATACCAGAATCTACAACACGTCTTCTGGCAAAACAAAGATCTATCCTTCTGGTTTAGCACAAGCATAAATTAAAACTGCCAAACCTATGGCTAAGGAGATGGTCTAAGTTTGCATCAGCACCTAAGCCATGTCTCAAATTTACTGCACTATGTCTGTAACAAAGATGTCTTTCAAATATACTTTCCTTCTTTTTTTTCTCTCCCTTACTTCTCCCTCAACATTTTTTGATTAAACATGAAGCAGTTCTGTAGAAGTACTGGGCCACTTTTAATTAGTTTAAGAAAGAGGGTGATAATTCTGGAATTCTGTTTGTTGCCTGATGAGAGACTCAATTTGTCTGGTGTATCTAGAAAACAGGCTTTAAAGTTGTGAATCAATGAGCTTTTCCTTGATGTGAGTTGTACTTTCTTTTCTTGGTTTTTCTATTTCAGTCCATTTAATTTTCTTTATAAAATCAAAACTGTCTTTGAATGATGGTTACCAAGAGAAATAAGGTGTCTGCTTTCATTTGTACTCTCATCTACTCTTTTCTTATTTTGGAAGTTTTACAGACAATACCATTTTTGGATTTGGGTTTTTTTTTCTCTTCCAGGTTGGAGATGCTCTTATTGAAATTGCCAGCAATATAATGTTGGTTGATGACCATGTGTTGTGGATGGCTCAAAAGGAAGACAAAGCTTGCACCAGGATTGTACGATGTGTGGAACACATTGCAAGTCAAATATTGACCAGTAATATTCAAGTTATATCTAAGGTATTTCATAAAATTACAAAACTTTGCATAAGATTTTTTTTCTCTTGAATTCTGTTTGGGGAAGACCAAAGTATTTTTTAAAGTATCACAGATAGTATTAAAAAATGGTTTTCTTGATTTGATCAATTTTATTTATTGTTACAGTAGAGTGTTCACATAACTTTCTAGTGTCCTTACTATTCACTCAGTTTCTATTTTTATTGCCACTACAGTATATTGGTTTATTTTGAAAGGTCCAAGTTGAGTGAGTGAGGAGTGAAATTTTTAAATAAAGACAACAGGATCCCTTGTTGCCTGAAGATTTTAATGTGCCTTTATGAGAGGATTCTGGTCAATTCTTGCTTAAAGCATTTAGAAGCTTATCAAAATAGGTCTATCATGTGATGAACATTACTGATTTGGGGTTAGTTTTAGTTTTTTAGAAGCAAACTGTAGCTGTTTGAAATATTTTTTTTAATTCCTTGGCCTCCATCTACACAAATCTGCCACTTGGATACTGAGGGATTGTACACTGAGACACCGTCTTTTTGCCAGTTTCAACATCTAATTAGTAGAAATACATCTAAATCAAAAGCTTGAAACTTACCCTTTTAGAATTTTAGATAAATACTTTAAAGCCTTATCTCTCCTTGGGTTAGTTTGCTTGCTTGATTTTGCTTGCTTGATTTTAAACAACCTTTATTCTTTTCTCAGTTGTTCACTGCATTTACACGAAAATACTATTAAAAAGTGAGTTCAGGTACCATTTCAATTGAAGTAATAATGTATAAAAGTAAAAGTTAAAAAAAGGAATTATAAGCTGAGCTGAATTACTGAGTGAGCCAAATAACATAATAGCCTTAGTTCCTTCACTGTATGTTTTCAGAAAAGCAGTCTTTCAAACAAAGACAAAAATATATTGGACTGTTTTCTGTAGGAAGGTATTTATTTAATTTACATTTATATAAAAGAATCAAATTTGCTAAAAGTATATTAAATACACAGAGACATTAATGTCCCTTCTAGAAGTATTTTTCACTGTGATAGCTAGGAGGGCTCTGTTGTTTTATGCTTAAATTTCTTTTAAATGTCAAGTGACAAAGGCCACCTTTTTTTTTTTTGTCACTGCTTCAGGAAGCTGTTGACATTACTGAAAACAGTAATTCTGTGTACTCAAACTTAGACCTGTGTCACTAACTGTTTGGCCATGCTTTGTTTTTTTGCTTCTTATGGTTTTCTGTAGGAGAATTAGTTTACTGTTGAGTGCAATTTGTAAATAAACAAAGCTGTGGAGTATTTTTGGTGTCATCTCATTCAATACCAAACACGTCTGTTCCTTTGGGAGGCCAGCCAGCAAGCTGTCTCACAGAAATTGCATCTACTTTCTTTATTTTAGGAAACAGCAAATAAACCCCCCAAGCTTAGGTAGGCAGTGGCTTATAGTACAATTTCCAAAAAAAAGAGTAACTCTGTAAGCTGTGTCAGCCGTTGTCACATAGAATCGTTTAGGTTGGAAAAGACTTTTAAGATCATTGAATCCAACCATTAACTCAGTACTGCCAGGTCCACCACTAAACCATGTCCCTAAGTGCCATGTCTCACGTGCATGACTGTGTTCCAGCATTGAAAAGCTACTTGGGAGCCATGACTGTTACTCCTACATCAATTTTGGGACGAAAAAATGTTTTTCCAGTTGCAGGAGGTTGGGGAATCACTGATTTCAAGGTCAGAAATATACCAGGATGGATAACTTTGTTTAGATCTTCTTAGGTTTCCCTTGCTGTCTAATGGCATACAAAACACTCTGCAGGAAGAGTGACCACTAGCAGCTTTGCAGTACTAGACAATTTCACATAAATATATAAAAATATGATATATTTAATGTTTCATGTAATAATCATACAGCGATAAAACAAAGAAGACGTCGTTTTGGTGCCTGAGGAGCTCCAGCCCAGGAGTGCTCAGGTCCTCAGCTGTGGTGAGGCCAGGTGGGGACACCAGGCTGCAGGTCAGGGTAAGGGACAGGCCCAGGGATGGTGACCAGACCCAGCTGCATCCTGGTGGTCACCAGGCCAGGTGGTGGTGATGAGGATGGCCCCAGGTCAGTGAAGGACAACAGGGCTGGAGTCAGCCCTCATGGAGCTCAGCTGAGGCTTTGGAGCAGCTTCAGCTTGGCACTGGACCAGAAAGAAGCAAATGGAAGCCCCCTCCAGAGCAGAGCCCCTGGGTGCAGCCAGAGAAGCCAGGGGTGCCCTGGGCAACCAAGTGCTCTTGGGTTGGGTCTGTATGGCTAGCACACCCAAATGAATTTCTCTTCAGTGTTGTTCTGAGACACTTTTTTGCTCCTGCTTTCGTTTTATTTCTGTGTATACATGTTAGATGTGCAGTTTGAAAAGGAAGATTTCCTTTTGATAACAACAAATGATGGTAAAACTTACCACAATGCTTCTGTCAGACACGTGCAATAGTTTTAAAACCCAGCCCCTGAAGAGCTTTTATTTCACTCTCCAACCAGTGAGACTGTCAGAGTATTTTAGACAACATGGCTCTTTGTGTTTTCAGCATTTGCAGCCTTCAGCACTGCTCTCAGCATACCCAGGTAACAGTCCCCTTTGGTCCTTCTACTGAGTGGTGCCTTTATCAGAGGTTTAAGAAATGGAACACAAATTATCATTTTCTGCATCTGTACTGCTTAGAGACAGGATTAACTGTGGCTTGTTTCCATGGATAATTTTGCTCTGGGTTCATCTGTATCCCTTTTGTAGCTCATTTTGCAATCCTACATAATGAACACTGGTTTACCTTGCATTTTGCCCATCTGTTTCTAGGTGCTGACAATGGCATGTTCACACTGTTTAGACATTATAAGGCCTTTACAAGTAAATTTTGAGAGTGGAAAACCCCAAATGATTAAAGAATTTAATATTGAAAATTTAAAAAATAGAGTTTGCTGTTGTGAAATCAATTGTATCCTCATACAGCATTATCTAGCAATCGCTCTGTTCACCACTACCCCACCAATGTAGTGTTATGCCCATTGTATAACAGAAAACATGAAACTATGAATAATTAAATGGGTTTTCCCAAGATTAAAGAAAACCTGTTAACCACGGGAGCTTTAACTGAGTCATGGAGCTTGATTCCTGTGATATGGATTATAGTATTCTGCAAGGAGTACAATTTGTAACTCCTTGAAAGGCTATCTACGGATGATACAAAAACTTACAGAGGGAAACCTAGTTTCAGATTTTTTTGGACTTTTCAACAAACAGACACTGGATTTTTAATGCAAAAGGTGTTTGATTCTTACTGATCTTTGACATTTTTATTCAAGTATAAAAAATAAATCACCATCAGGCAAGGACAGAAGAGGTGGAAATTTCATATAAAAAATGGAGTTTTTAGGAATTTAGAAATAACTGAAAAGAATCTTTAGGGTACTTCTACTTATAAGTAGAAGTATATTACTTATATATAAAAAAGTATTAAAATATATTGTAAGCTTCTAGATTTTGTGTAATTTTGACAAAAAGTAAAATGTTTAATGAGACTTCATGACTTTCATTTTGGAAAGTGTCTGAAGAAGGTACATTCAAAAACCATTTGATAAGTTCAAAAGAATACTGGCAAGTCATGCACTGTATCTCATGCTAAAATTTAATTTGTTCTGGTACTGTGGTTTTTACACAGTTAGGCTACCCTTTATCCTGCTCTGCAAAACATTTTCTTTAGATTCATTTATTAGCATGAATTAATGCCATTTTCTTCAGTGAAGTCATTTCTTGTCAGCAAAATGCCCCGAATTCTGAAGGATTCACACCTGTTTTTACTGAGTAGATTTACAGTACTTCTGTACTGCTAGCTTGCATAACAGAAGCAAGTACAGTAATGGAAATCTACTCCATTGGTACACTTTCCCTACTGCTAAAGTTGCTCATTTGTGGCTTAACTCAGGTATCTTTACATTGCAGTCAGTATGTAAAATACGTACGCTCACAGATCACTAATCAATCTGTGCCTGGAAGCAGAAACCATATAGTCCTGTTGGTGTGGTACCAGTCTAAGCTAGTCAACCTGATTATAATACGAGCTGTTTATCTCATGCACAGGCCTGTGATGAAATGAAAATACTAGTTTAAGGATAGAGATGCATATCTGCACTCTGCTACAACCTCCATGTAGACACTTCACCTTGCCAAAGGGTAGGTCACAAACCTACCTGTACATGGTGTTGCCTTGAACCACGTAGTCGTGTTCAATATCATAATGAAATATGATCTATTAAAAACAATATTCAACTACTAAATAGCTAAGAAGGTTTCTGTTTAATTTCTGGGGTAGAAAGCACATCCTTGTTCATTTTTTAAATAATTCTTATGCCTGCTGTTGCTAGTTCTTTGTATAACTGTATTAGTTTAATTCCAGATTCCATTGAAGCTAATAATGACACAATTGCAAAACTGATATAGTAGTAACTAATATAACTGATATAAACTGATACAGTCCTATGGAAGGAAGATTTTAGCAAACCCACTATGCTGTTGTACAATTCTATATCCTATTTTTAAATAAATTCTGTTTTCTTTTTCACCCTGTGAATTTATATAAAAGTCTATACGTGCACAATCCGTTATAAAGTATATGCAGTAGATACACAATGCATGTAGAATAATGCAGTTATGGTTAATGACTTTGTGACATAACTGTTCTCAATGTTTTCACAGGTATCTCGTAATATTGCTCTGGAAGCCTTTATGATCAAGCCATCTAGTTTCACGGGAATGACTTGCACTGCCTTCCAAAAAATATCTGCAAATTCTGACAAGTCAGAGATGCCTGAGATGGGAAGATGGGAAGCAAATCACCATCCTGATCTATATTTGAATTTCAAGTGCAACACTGGCAATCTGAATGGTTCTTTGGTGAATTCTTCTACCAGGGTAAGTCAGTACGATTGTGAGTATAAGTTATCTACTTTAGCATGTTTTCATTAGTACCTTTAGGCAGAACACTGATTTGTAAAATGCATATTTTATGTGTTGTTAACATTGTAAAGTGGTTAATAATTTCAACATGTAAGTGGGCTTAAACTGGTGTATTGGGTGTAGTATATTTTGTTGTGCTAATGTGAATAGAAATGAGTACTTGCCTTGTTGTTTCTATCTCTGGTCTGGTTCTGCAAACTTTTTTATGTGCTATGTGTAAGCAACCTCTTTAAATGAATGTGGAAATATTTGTTTTAGTGAGGCACTCTCGGGGGATTTTATATTACAAAGATGTATTTTTTAGGGAAATAACCTTTACTTTCACTAAATAATATTACACTATCATCTGGACTTTATACTGAGGGGGTGTTATGTTTGACTTTTTGAGTGGTAGCTGAAGAAAATAATAAATAAGCCTCTTAATAGAATGCACTGTTGTTATCAAATAATGAAGTGGAACAATTAAATTTTGATCTTGCAGGAAATGGAATTTTGTATTTGGCCGAGCATGTTATTAAATTTAAGTATTACAGTGTTGAATTTTTGTTATCCTTAAGCTGAATCTAATTTTAATAGGCTTATTTCTTGAAATATTTGCTATGAAAAAATAATGCTTTTTCCATACTAGTTTATGGAATTTGAAAGTATTTTTATTGAAGTTATTTTCTCTTTGGTGCATTTTCATTTGTCTGGGCTATGCAGTCGGTGATATGGTAGTTTACATTCTCAGGGACTGCTGCTAAAAAGGGTCATCTTAATAATGGAAGAATAGGTTAAATTTGTTTCCTTCAATGGAGTTCATTTTTTTCTGTGGACACTGCTAACATATCTATCTATATGAAAGAGGAATTCTGAAAAGAGATTGTCTCTGAAAAGAAGCGAGTTTGCCATCCATAAGATGAAAACCAAATGTCAGGGATGTACAAGTTAAAATATTTCTGCAAGAAGCAACACTGGAACACTGCAGCATATGTGGTGGTATTATTGACATAGAAATGTACATGGGACTACCTGAATTGGAAAGCTTTCTTTATGGGCTCTACCAGTATATCTTGCACTCCAGAAACTGAGTACCAACATTTTTAGTAAATTAGTCTCTTTATACTTGGATGGTCCAGCGCTGGTGAATCTCTCCTGTTATAAAGAATCCTACCATAAGTACAAATTTCTCACCTCTTCTATTAGTATACATGTGTCAAATATGCAGAGTGAGTTCGAACATTTATTTGAAGCCTTTCTAAAATGTTGTCAGAATGTCACAATTTAATGATCTCAGTAGAATCTTTCCTTGTGTGCTTTGAACCTACCTGACTTTAAACCATGTACAAAAGGGAAATGCTACTGATCATATAAAGAAAGAAGCTAGGAGAAAGTAAGCTTGTTACCATGCAAAGCAATTTTTGAAGTATGTGATATATATTCTGACAGAAGTGACTTTATTAGGTGGATCACTAGTTATCACCTGTATATGAATTTGTAACTGTTGTAACAGCACAGTACAGGAGATTATAGATTCAGCTAAATGTTAGTTACATGGATTTATATTTTAACACTAAGGTACACTCAGGTTTTAAATGTGGTATGTGAATAAACAGACTGAATATATTCCTTTAACTTAATCCTGTAAAGCAAATTTTCATTCATTGTTGCTCTCTGAAACTTTTAGGCTAAGCACTCCTTTAATTCATTCTGAAATTAGTTACATTTCTTCACTCTTTAATGCCGTGATATATAGAATTGCAACTGATAACAGAAAATGGGATTCTTTATCATCATCATCCACTAGTAAAATTATTTCTATATTTGCTCAGTGGAGACAAACAGTAAACCTTCTTGACTGTGCTATGCAAAGTTTAGGAAAATAGAGAATTTGTGATGGAGGTCAGAATTGCTTCTTTTATTGTATGTGATCTTTGGAACTTCATCTTAGGTGCTGAGCTTATTCTTAGAATCTTCCTCTATTTCGTATACAATTAATGATGAAAAAGGAAAAAAAGCCTAATTAAAATCACTAAGTACAAATGGTAATCACAAATTTAGTTTACTTCTAATAAAATGTGAAAAATTGCTTAAGAAACTTATTAAAAGAGGATGTTTATATATTTTTGTGCTAAATAGTGTAGTCCTCTTTAAACATATCATCCGCACACTAAACATAAACAATAGGTCATGTTGTCTGTTGTTAACAAATTGCACTAATCGGTTAAAAAAGTGAATACTCATGGAACAAACTGTGGTCGGTTGATGGGAGAAAGCTGAAATAGATGAGCATAAACTATCTTGTTAGTACAATCAAAGCTTTGGTAGTTTATTCATAATGATATTTCCTGACAATGGTAGGAAATTGATACTAATTTAGTCAGTGGTTTCCGGTACATAACTTAGCCTTATCTGGTTATTATGGGATAAAAACCTCAAAAAGGTTAAGAAATATCAAAATTTAAATCAATGAGTAAAAACCAGTTTTAAAAGAATAGACTTTGAAAATTAAATAATTTAAAAAGTGCTGAAAGAGGTCCACCATTAAGGGATGTTCAGGAGACAACTGTTAAAATATATTTATATCTCCTTGTTCTTCAAATATGTAGTAGATCTTTATAGACTAATTTGCAGTGTTTTCATATACCCTAAAGCAAATTATTATTGCAGTTTGATACACGAATTTTTATCTTTATATCTAGTTCTGACTCTGTAACTAATTGCAAGTCTGAAGAGAATCGTTTATGACTATTGCAGACAGAAGTTGTGTCTGGTAGGATTTAGACCCAAATGCTTTCTCTTAGATCCCATTTATGCTGTTAGTAGGAGGCTTTTGCTGCCTGACTGTGCTCTACTGGATAGGGGGGAAAAAGGCTTAGATACATATTCTGAGTTTTTGATACAGTAGCATATATTTTGACAAAGCGGTTGTTTTCTTCTCTGGTAAAGTAGGCTTAAGGGGATCTTCCCAGTGCGGGACTCCAGACTGAGATCCCATCACAGGGGTCTGTGCTCCTGAGGCACAGTTCTGTCCCATGAACTGTCTGTGGTCTAAGGATATTGCAATAAAGATATGACAATAACACACCAACAAGGCTGTTGTAACATTTGAACTAGGCCAATGTGAGAATAGCTTATGAAATTTTAGTGCCATTCAGTATGAATCCAGTGCCCGGTTCCCATTTGATACCAGACCTGAAGCATACTTTGAACCTAATCTCTGTTCCAGCCTGATCCTGCAGAATATCTCCAATGTTCAAAGGTAATCACCTGTAACCCTTCTTCTGACTCAGTAAAATTGCTTCAACACAGAATGAACCTTTAAACTTCGTGTACTATGGTATTGAAATATGTGGTTTATAGGGAACTGTAGATTCAGTATTTGTGCTTCAACTTTAAAGAAAGTATTTTATTAGCATAATTTACAGTTTCAGCTTCATTGAGAATGCTTGTCAAATGAAAAGTCTATTCCTCTCTTTATTCTCCTGACACACATATTAATTGGAAGTGAAGATTTGAAATTTCAGTAATATATATTTCTTATGTAATCCCTGACTTCTGAAATTTGAATTCCTCACAATAGTCTCCATGCATTCCATTTAACTTTTCAATTCTATTTATTTCTTCTGTGCCCTGAGCCAGACTGACCTTTTGATTTGTCAGGTTGTATTACAGGTGATGTCCAAGTGATAAAATGTTAAAAGTTAAATTGGTACCAGAGATGCTAACCACAAAAACAAATTCTAAAGTGCTTTGACAAAATCCTGTGATTACTTGCTTATACCACATTTTAGAAATGTTCTTGTCTCAGATACATACTGGAAAATACACAGTCAATGCAAGAAAAGGTTTTGTCTTGCATAAAATAAATTTTAATTGTCAGAATGTAGATATAATGTATACATAATGGTAAATGCCTAGGTAAAATTACCAGGAGTGCTGAAAACAACCTCATGCAAAGATGTCCACCAAGTGAGAAGAGGGTAGGGTAAAGCACAGAATTAAAAACTCAAAGAGGAATTGTGAAGGGAAAAATTATTGTTACTGATTTAATTGAGTTGCTTATCCATTTTAAGATACATTTTTCCATGTTCAGAATGCATGTGTACAGAATTTTTTCAATACGTAAAGATCAGCTATGGAAATTTAGAATTCAAATAATGTACAGAATTTGTGGACAATGTAATACAAGTTAATATATTTCCTGCAACTTGCACTGAAGATGACTCATTTTGATTTTTCTGGTTCAGTCTATCATACTAAACGTTCCCCACTCCAGATCTTCTTTCATTCCATTCTACACTAAAAAATTGCACAAATGTTTTTCAGTCTCCTGTTGAGAAGATTCACATTGAAATATTCCATAACCACGTACATCATATTAAGAAAATACCATCCAACATACTCAACAAATACTGTTATACTACAGTGTGTCACAGTATCTCGTTAGGGTAATTTGGGGTTTTTTTTTCCTACTGTGTAATAACTAGTAGGTTGATAGGCATCATAAATGTAGCATGAATTTTGTTGGCATCATCATTTTCATCATGACTGCCTCTAATTTCCCAGCCCACATAGCTTCTTAGAGAGTATTGCAGCACTTTCCTCATCAAATATGATGAACTTCCAGTATGTGTGTATCATACAGAATAGTACAAGATTATAATTTTTGTTCTGATTGTGTAATTTTTACAACTGCAGAAAGTATACAAAAGAGAAAACACTACCAACAAACAAAAGATTAGTTTCTCAGTTTCATATGTATGGCATATTACAGCAAGACACTAGGCTCAATGCTGAAATACATAATATCAAAGCCTATTTTGTTTCAAAATATTTTTGTTTAATCTTGACATATTTGTAAAATATTTTGCAAACACGTCAAGATTAAAAATTCAGGTCAAGGCATTTCGTGTAACACATCAGAATTTGCCCTGTTGCCTTTCCTTTGGGAAGAATGTTTTCCCCATTTTTCT